ATTATAAATGAGTGTGAATGAAGGTTCAGTTCCCAGCTGCAGTGCCTCCAGTTGAGCAGGACACTCAGGTGGAAAGCCAGCTGAGGATCATGCTTGGTCACTGCACTGGTGGCTTACACTTATGGGGGAGGGGGTGATGATCTGTGTGCAGGAGAGTGTAAACTTCTCCACATGCTCTCTAATAGATGACAGTATGTGCCTGGCATGTGTATGTGCTAATCAAGGTAAAAGTGGATAGTTGGAAACAGCAGGGTATCTGTACTGCATGTCACATGTGAGTGACTTGATGGAATCCAGATCCAGGTGTCAACTTTTTGTAGATGTCAGAGAGAGCGAACAAAAAAAAAAAAAAAAAGAACTTGTGCTGTTCCAGCGACAAAATATAAGAGCAGACATTTGTTTTGGAGCTTGAGCAAAGAAAGTGTATACACAGGTTGTTTTTGAACATCAGAAATAGCCTACAGTGAACCCAGTTGTTGATTGTTGAATTATAGAGGGAGAATGACTGCTGTGCAGCATCAAAGAGAATCAGAGGATTGCATCTTCTCTTCACCTATACCAAGAAATTAAAAAAAATTATCTCAATCTTTACTCCTCCAACATCAGTAATTACAAAGACTGAAGCACACGTCTATGAATTGCCAATGAATGTGTGATCTGTAATTATAGTTGAAATGCAAGTTCTATTATCGCCTCTGTGGAAAAAAACTGTTTCCTTTAAACACACTTCGCTCAATCTGATCTCTGTGTAAGGTAGTTTGTGTCTTTGCCTGAAATTAGCCGTGATAATGGGGATATTTTGGGGCATGATTCATGCTCAGAGGGAAGTCATGGAAACAACCCCAAAGGATTTACTGGTTTATATACTGTTACAGGTTTAATGTATAGGCAAATTTTGTATTTTATACTTTCATATAAATCTGATATGTCAGAAAAAAAATAATCTCAAAGAAAGTCCCTTTGTTTGCTTTTGGCCTGGTCCATATGGATGTGTTCCCATTTCACTTCTTGTTTACTCAGGGACTCTGCCCCCTTAACTTTAAGTTCAGTGCATAAATATTTCACTACAAGTTGAATTGACAAGCCAAAAAAAAAGTGCATGGGCCTGAAGCCAGAGAGAGGGGGAAAGGATGCAAATAGAAAACAGACAAATGACAGAAACAACAGCAAGGTCCACATAGTGTGAGCACTGAAGCGGAGCTGAGAGAATGTCACTCAGGTCACAGGGATTTGACGGATGAGCTTTGTTACCGGCTCTGTGTGACCTCGCCTTTCAACCCCTCTCAGCCTCAATGACACAAACAAACAAACACACACACACGCACACGCACACACACATACATACATACACAGGGAAAGACACCTTGGGGGCATATGTGTGCATACCCAGAAACGCAGCACAAACATACCACACATATATACCTCCCCACTCAGTCACAACATACAGTACATATTCTGTTGACATGCGAGGCAGTGACAGCCTTCCCACATCGTCAGCTGAGGCATAAGCAGAAATTCTTGACCCATACCTGCCCTCCTCACTGTGGCCCTGTGGGCATGAACACTCAATAGAAAGGGTAACATCACTTGTCTAAGCTGTTATAGACTTGACACGCTACACCCGCACGCCAGATTTTGGAAACATATCCACACACGCATACTCCCTATTGACCACTTGCTCTCTCTTTTTTTTTTTTTTTTGCCCACAAACTGCACATTAAACCCCGCGGACCACACCCAGATCTCTGACTTTCACTCACCCGTGAACGCAAAACACACAGTAAAACATACGACCCATCATGGCCGTGAACAGCTTGACTCATCATTCGTCACATCTACACTGAGTATGCTGTTCCGATGCGCCTTTCGTGTTGCGCCGGAACAAAAGCCTTGAAAAGGAGAGGAAGTGGACAGCTTGAGAAAACGGAAAGATAGATAAATGGATGCATGGATGGATGGCTCCTTAGATAGATGGATTGGTGAATAAAGAGAGTAATATGGAAGTCTTCCTGGTTAGCCAAGTGTTCAAAAATCAATCCTTTCCTTTGTCAGGTAAGCAGGGTCGCTCGCACCTCACCTGGGGTTTGTGACGTGCCCGTGGGCTAATTCCCAAACCACGCAACCATGTGTATGTAATGAGACAGCAATGCAAGTACAAATGCAAAAAAAACAAAAACACCGCTACAAAGAAACACACAGTCTTTAAAGTCTTTAAATGAATTAGCACACATCACCTTAGCGAGACCAGTGCAGTCAGAGCATTGTCCTGTGAGCCTAATTAATCACGACTTTGGTGAGCGGCCAACAGAGAGGGAGGACAGCCCCCTTCTGTCTGAAACCTCCACAACATTGCTCCAGAATGAACCCACATCCAGGGTTAACACAATTACCAGCATGTCCTCCCAACCATACATCCAGCATCACACCACAGGCTCTGGTAATTGGTGTGCCTAGAATTGCAGGGAAAAATTAGAAAAGCATTAGAGGGAAAGAGGTGATTAATTTGCTCGAGGAGGAGGTCGATGGCGATGTAAATCACTGCACGTCAGCGCAATTTAGTTTCCCTGATTCCCTCGGCCTTGTCTGCCACGCCACCCCACCCCCACCCACCCACCCCCGCTCGCTGATGGGTTAGTGTCAGGTCATAGCTGAAGAGGTCATGTAGTGAAGGGCACCACGCATAGTTTAATTACAGCATAGGATCCTGTACGGGACCTGTGGACCCCAACATCCCCCCCAAAAAAACGCTTGTTTGCTTGTTCCCCAGAATTCAGGGGAAGCAGGATCTGGACGACGAGTCTTTATGAACTGTGCTCAAGTGTAAGATGATTACATTCACTTTTATTTACGAAAAAAACTGGCATATTGATGGAATAAGCTTCTCAGTATGTGGTGGGATGTGAAGGTAACAGCTCTCTTGATTTGAAAGGAATAAAAATAGTTACGGTACTGAAGATTTCATGTGGATGGTTATGATAATAAGGCAGCACTCAAGGGAAACACAGCCCAGGCTCTGACATGCTTGTTTTAAAAATCTCAAACAGTAAAAAAAAAAAAAAACAAAACAAAAAAAAACACACCATCAAAGAAAGCTGAGTGTGTTAGCATCAAAGAGGGTCAAACTTCATACCTCACCTGCTCTATTGACTGTCCAGATAATGTCCTCAAGGAGACTTTGTTTGCATTGAACAACATTAGAATGCTGACCACAATCTATAATCCAGTCCCCACCTTTTGCACCCGGTTTTATTAGCAAGCTCAGCGGCGCCGACAGCAGAGGTGCTGCTCCTCTTTGTTGCTAAATAAGACCCATTCAGCAAGGTTTAACCACAGGGGTCAAGCATACAAAGCGAGCTATTCCTGGGGAGCAATTAGCTCTCGGCCAAACCAATGTGAGGTCATATCTCCTCTGGCCCCTATGACACTTCCTCTTCACACCTGGGCTACCATCTCCTGCCAATCGGTAGCCTCCCCTGGGCTTACACCGTATGTTGTGAATGTGTGTTTCTGAATATGACCTAAAGTAACAATTCTGACAGATACCAGTTTGCGCCTGAGCCTCACCACAAAGGGTGGAAATAAAGTAGATATAAAGCACATTGTTGTGTTTTTATATTTAGATGAAGACAAATTATTTTGAGAAGTCTCTTTTCGTACCTGGGTAGCACTGACGCACAGGCTGACTGCATGCTTTTGATCTCGAGTTTTGCATATCTTGAAATACCTCTGAAGCCATTCCTAAAATAGGCACTTTTTATAGCATAATATATTCATATTGTATTCATAGTTCATAGTTCATAGTTGTATTCATTCACATTCACAGTGTACAGAATGAATCATGTCCAGAAAGACCACCTCGAGGCGTTTTTATGAAACAAGTGAAAACCTCTACTCCTAGATAAGACTGGCAGAATAGGTTGTGTCGAGCCACTTGGGGCTGTCAACCCAAAATTAAAGGAGGAGAGGTAAGATACAGGACATGGCTTAGTGAGTTGCAGGACAAAAAGTGTATGGCTAAAAATTTTTAGCTATTGTAAGTCTATAGTTTTCTGTATGTAAGAAAAAAAAAATCTACCTTTGAGTTAAATAACATGGGGACATGGTCCTTGCCCTGTGTTGATCAGTTTTGCCCGGAGAAGAACTTATTGTCAACAAAGTGCAGGTGGCAACACCCTTGATACATCGGTAGCTAAACAGGGTCATTTGCACCAAAGTCTCAAAGCAGAGTCAATGAGGTGAGAACTGACACATGCAGAGAGAGACACACAAGCATGCCTGTGCACAGCACTGCCTATTTGTGTGCGTGTGCACACACGCATACACACACACACTCGAATAAAATCGCACGTACAAACTCAGGCATGCCAGGAGTCCTAATGACCTCCACCGTGTGTTTGTGAGGGTGTAAGTGTGTGTTTTGAATTAGGAAGAGGAGAGGCAGAAGATGAACTAATGACGGCTGCTAATAATTACAGATCTGTAGTGTGGATGAGTTAATGAGGAGCCAAAGCCTCCCATGATGCCCCAGTAATAATGAATGAGGAGTGAGAGAGGGGACGGAGGGAGAGAGAGAGAGGGGGTGGGAGCTGTCAGTTTGAGAGGCCGCAATGCCCTTTGGTTTCTCTGCACTCTGGGCATGTCAACGAGAGAGGAGCCTTCCCAGAGGAGGCTTGTCTCCACACTAATGAAGATGTGACAGACCTCCGGTCCGTGACTTGCAGAGTATAGGAAAGAAGAGGAAGGAGGACGAGGGTGAGGATAGAGACAGCTCATATAAAATGAAAGGCACTGAAAAGGTGAAAGGTTTCTAAGACCTTCAGAAAGATTGAGACAGTGTCAGATAGAAGCAAAACTGATTAGACTGGTAGGTGATGGTTTTTAGGATCTTGCGACTGCTGGAGATGTCAATAAAAAAATTGACTGCACTCCTACACACACCTTAAATCACATGCATCCATGGCACTCAAGCAGAATAAAAAATGAACTCTGCAAGTACTCACCAGAGAGCTGGTGTAGCTGGGATCAGAAGTGTCATCCTGTAGGTAGCGGGACAGACCGAAGTCGGACACTTTACACACCAAGTTGCTGTTGACCAAAATGTTTCGCGCAGCCAGGTCACGATGGACGTAGTTAATTTCGGAGAGATATTTCATCCCTGCCGAGATCCCACGCATCATTCCCACCAACTGGATCACCGTAAACTGACCGTCATTTTGCTAGAGGACAGAGAGGAATACAAATGAAAACGGTTATCTAGATATTATCTTTGGCATGATTAACATAAATGAGAATAGCTGGGGGATAGTGAGATTTCAGCAAATGCTAACATATCTGCTTTTAATGATAATGAACTAATTATGTTGGTTCATAACTGAATTATAGATACTATGTTGACTAAAAATTCCAGGCTTGAATGTTATAATTTTAAAAAACCAACTGTTTGAATCTGACTCTCTATTAGGAAAAAACTGTGCAAAATAAATCAGATGTTTGTGTTATTTTCTACTGTATTATGCAGACGAGATGTAATTTTAATGTCTTCCGAAATAGTTTGCATCAAGGCTGCCCAGTGGGACTCTCCTCCAGAATTAGCACGAACTGATGTGTTGTCTTACCCAGTGACAAACAGCTATTTCAGCTTGAAGCTATCTTTTTTTTAACAAAAGTAATTACGTTGACTTATTACAGGTTCATGTTTTTTTCCTTCCCCTTGTTTTAAATCTTTTCTTTTGTTACACTTTGCCATTAGAAAAATTCGCCATCTCGAGCTCTTTTTCTGCATTTCAAATCCTCTTAATGTCCACAGGAAGAGCATTCTTGTATTAGATAAACACAAATAGATTCTGAGCCCATTATTGCTCATTGTAGGTGTTAGAGCATTGTTCCATTCAGACATGGGGGCATCTATCTCTCTAACATCCACCTATGGTGCCCCTATCCCTGTGTGAATGCTCTGAAGAGCATGCTTTGAACCCCCGAAACACAGTAACAAATAAGAGGGTAAGGGAGATCGATGGAAACACAAGTCGGATGTGGCGGTTAGCAAAGCCAACTTCAAAGAGCCCCTTTAAACCCACCCTAGATCAAAGTGGAATAGAACACCAATCCATGAGATTGAAGGAGGGAAAAAAGTGAGTTGAATATTGATTAAGATGTATGTCTGCTCAATCCTGACTATAAAAGAAAGAGAGAGGAGTCCATTAATAGTTCCAGGCATTAATAGAGAAATTAAAGGCTGATAGGGCCAGCTAGTGTGGAAATTTTCAAATTAAGAATGATTTAAATCGCGTTCATTGTCATGAAACATATTCTCTGTTGGCACTGGATAGATTAAGAAGGCTCATTCCAATTTGTATTAGGAGGGGTTCTTCGCATGAACTCCTTTTGTGAGACTGTTTAACGATTAATTTCCAATTAGCTTCTCAGTCCCATAAAGCAACGTTTCCATTGAACTCATGAATAAGACTTATGAACACCCCATGTAACTGTTTCCAACTTTGTATGACATGGTACATGTGTGTTTTCACTCACCCTGAGGAATGAGTCAAGGGCACCGTTCTCCATGAACTCTGTGACGATCATGACAGGACGGCTCTTTGTGACGACGCCCTCCAGACGGATAATGTTTGGGTGGTCGAACTGACCCATGATTGACGCCTCAGACAGGAAGTCCCGCCTCTGCTTCTCCACGTAGCCTGCCTTCAGGGTCTTGATGGCTACATAGATCTCCCTTTTACCAGGCAGCTTCAAACGGCCCTTGTAGACCTCCCCAAACTCACCTATAAGGGTAATAGAGAGACGTGTACAGTGGCTGCTCTGTCAAGAACTGATCTATTTTTTAGACAAATGCTTTGTAGTGTTTGATTAGATCTAAATCTATTCATTTATCAAGCTTATTTGCATCTTATGTCCTTTGGCAGAAATATTACCCAGAAAGCTATTATAGATCTCGACTTAGTCTACCTCAAGCATACTGAGCGTTGTCCAATACTCATCTAATGTTGCTCCTTCAAGATATTCTTAACAGTGTGGCTCCCCTGACTCACAGTAGTCATCTATCCTAAAAGCCTGCCAAGTGTCTTCATAGTCACCAATCAAAGAATAACAGGCAAGCACTATCTGCTAAATATCTGGAACTCTTTTGATTAATTATCACCACCTTGGTGTCCTGCAGAGACGCCACACAGTGAAATCAACAAAAACGGAAATCTTTAATTAGTTAGTCCCCCTGCATCCTTATCGCTATCCTATCTCTGTCACTTCCTCACACCTAGCTTGCTGAGTAGGCCAGTCCACAGGAGCTATTCCAGGCCCAGTCTCATCACCAGGGGTATTTTAGCCTGTGTATAATCCAACACATATGGCATCAGCATGCCCATCCCTGCTATAAAAAAAAAAAGAGAAAAGGTGCGTTCGGTCCCAGGGTAAAAGACACGTTTGACTGTTGCTGAAACTATTTTAGCCTCCAGTTGCTCAGGATTTACGTCAAAGCAATCAGACCCTAATTACCTGTTCATCAATTTAAACAGACATTTTAACAATACAAAAGAGGTAAATCTTACACAAGGAAATAAAACCACACCATCTATTTTGCATGTAAGTAAGGGATGATGTAAGGTAGAACATATTAGAGAGCAACTCTAATAGGATCCCAAAACAGAGAAGCACAGGGAATAGGCCTCAAGGCTTGAGTTCTGTCTAATGCCATTAGGTCCCAGGGTAGCTGGCCTATATACTGCTTATGCACTTGACATGGGCCCTTCACATGTTTCCATCTCATGTGGCTGCCAGAAGGGCTGGGCTTTACGACCTTGAAAAGATTCAGGCCAAACTTGTTTGCACGCAAGAACTCAGAAATAACGCATGAAGATATAGCAATCCACGTTCACATTCACCGCGCATACACGTACGTATATAAGTGCAAGTGTTCACCATACCTGCACCGATGACTTCCTCGATCTTGACAGTGGAGACGTCGATCTCCTTGGCGAACTCTCGGACAGCCTCGTTGGGGTCCTCGTAGGTAAAGGGGTCAATGTAGATCTTCATCCCCGGAGAGCCTGAGAAGTGGGTCGGGCAGCCCAGTGGGGAGGGGCAGTTAGACATGTCGGCTCGCAAAGAGAGTTCTAGAACAACCAAAGTGCTCAATGAGCTTTCCAGAAGAAGAAACTGTTCTTTTTCTCTTCCTCTCTGTCTCTCTCTCTCTCTTTGGCTCTAATGTCTTGTGGAAATGGTTGATGAATACAATTGCCCTTCAAGGCGCAGCTTAAATCAGTGTGACACAGCATCACTTACAATCACTACAAGCTCTCAAAAGCCGTAAATGATGACAACTCCATTTGCTCTCTGGTCCTCCTCGGAGACAGGAGGGAGCACTAGAATATGTAAATGAATATCAACGCACATTGCATGCATTAAATAGTATAGGTGGAGGATTATAGGTGCAGCCCCAGTTATGAGTAGAGCAGACAAAAAAAAATGGTGGTTTGATGATTCAGTACTTGGAAGGGGGAAACAGGCCAGAAAAAAAAAAAAAAAACAGAGAGAGAGGGGGGAAAATGAAGGGATAGAGGGAGGGATGAGAGTATATAGAAAGAGTAAATGTAGACAGATTTTCTTTTCCTTTTATCCCTTACCCTAGCAGTCTCTGCTCTTTGATAGTGGTAGAACCAATTTCCCAACAGCCTTTCCCTATAGGAGCTCATAAAGAGATAAAACCACTGCGCTATCAACTAGCTTTTTATGCCGCACGGCGATAGGTGAGCTCAGTTCACAGACTGGAGCTGTCTGCAAACGGTGGACAAATTTTCTGTGTCGACAGACCGGGTAGGGGGGGACTGCCGAAAAACACTTGTAAACAAATTCAATACACACTGCCACAAGACAGACATTACAGCGGGCAAACAGACGTAAAATCATCATTTCTACACTGACACCCAAGAGCAGCCCTCTTTCTCAGAGCTGTTTAGTCAAAACCTTGGCAGCCATGATTGGAATAAACCCATTTCCATCAAGTCAATTTGTGCCCGCTCATTTGCACAAGCCACATAGAGAGAGGCAGGGGTCTCAAGAGACAGCAGGAGGATAAGGTCTGGTCTTGGAGGGATCAAGGTGCCTCACCTCGCTCTTGACTAAAAGCTGATTCTAGTTACCACACTAATTGCCTTGAACCTTGTCTGTGTGAACGTAATTGCTCATTAGAGATTCCATACAGATTGGATTCAGGTTAATCCATCTGAGGGTTTACAGCTTTGCATTCCATAAAGTCTTTCTGTTTACAAGTGTTGTCAAGCCACTCACTCAGCAGCATCGCTGGGTGGGACTCAAAATCTCAGCGGGGAGCATATACAGTACAGCGATAAACATGGGAGAACGAACTCAAAATCTCAATCACATGTGCGCACACATCCATGGTCACATACATAAACCCATTATTTTCCAATTCTCCAGTTCGGAGCCCATTTTCATGTATAATTTAAAATGCAAACAGTTTATCTCTTTGCCTCCCTATGGTACAGACCTGGTTAACTGGACCCATCTTTTTATGGCCAACTGATAAAAAATAAATTCCTCCTTTAATATTTCATAGGTCCTTCATCTGAGTGTATAAAGCAAATGTGTCCAAACGTCGGTTCTATTTTTACCCAACATATAAAACAACAAGCCTGTTGGGAGACAAAGCATTGCTGCTGCAGTGATTTAAAGGCCTATAACACATACCATGATTACATACCTTTCTAAATTAAATGGCTGAGTGGACAAACTCATTAATTTAGGGAATTTGTATTATAAATCTCAACAAAATCCCTAAACTATGACACAATAGCTCAAACAGTTAAGAGTATTTAATTGACTGGTATTAACAAATGATAGTTTACAGTGCTGCACTTAACCCTGTTATTTTCACCAATGTCCAGCATTTATCCTGCTATTAGTCTTCCCTGCTCATTTACTGAATGGCCCTAATGTATCCACAAATCAACTGTACGGCAGTAATGCTTATATTAATCTATTACCGGCTACGGGTACAATCAAATTACTGGTCCTACTACACAGAATTTACATACTGCCTAAAGACAAACAGCAATGTCAGTAAGTGAAGCAGTAGCTTCATAAATGCTCATCTTTTTAAGTTAAAGGAACTTTTTCATGTGTTAGCCTTTCACCAAGGCAACATAATTTATTCTAATTCCTTTTGCTTGACAGTATTTGTAATTTAGCAATTTCAGTAGATAGCAATTATATGTTTTATGTAATTATCCACTTTGGGGAAATTAACATAACCAATTGCAGGGCACTGTACGCCTATAGTGAATATATTCCCATTTCTTGTCGGTCCAAGATGCACACAAATCTATTCCGAGGCTCTGTGAATATAATGAGTTGAGTTTACTTCCTAAATACAAACTAATTATCCTTCGTTTGATGTCAGAAAATCATTTGTCAGACACACAGTGTGGCTTATTAGTATGGAAATCACAAAAGGGATCTAAAAATTGTATGGGATTAACAGTCACATTGGTACAGGCAGTAAAATCTTTGTGTGGGTTTATCAGGCATGTGGTGCCTTCTGCAAGTCTTCACTCTGTGAAAGATAAAATTCTGCTCAGCCAAAAAAGGGGTTTACCCATTGTACTTGATGAAGATGAAAGATGAAGATGATGAAGGGTAAAGGCAAATGTCACAATAACCTACAGATGTTCATCAGTTCTTTTTATGCCTTAGCGAAATCTCTGAATTCACATATATATATGTTTAATCAGTGGATAGAACAAAAAAGAAATCGTTGAAGCATAAACATATTTGTTAAATTTCGATTTCCCATTCTAATTCAGTGTGAGCACCAGATGTTGAAGCACAGAGAACAGCTGAAGCAACAAAGTGACAAACAGGGTTGGAACGTAAGTGATTTAAGATGTGTTGGTAGTCATATGCAGAGAAGCATTAGGGCATACAGTAAACAAGCAGTGCTCAGAAATGTCTCTCTGTTAATTAGCTGATGTTGACTGGCTGCTGGTGTGTGTAAAAGAGGAAAAGGGAATAGATACACTGAGGAAAACTGTAAATGCTCAAATGCAGTGAGGTGTGTGTAATATGATATGTAGATGAACGCTGGTGATACTGATAATGTGCTGATGTGGGCAATTAAAACAAAAAATAAATAAAGTTCCCTTGGCTCTTAGGGAGGTTCTTTCTCCACGGGAATGATGCGTCTGTTCCAATCTGATGGTCATTACATCCCGCCCAAGGTTTGGTTTAATGTTAAATGTTAGGTTAGATATAACCATGACCTGTCAGCAGCACTACTGAATTTACAGTATGCAGCAGCATCCCCAGTCTAGAAGCTTGTCACATTAGGTGGGCTGGAATTGAGGAGACATCACCTGACGTGTGTGGCAGCAGCTGGAACAGTAAGCAGCTGGATGAAAGCCAGCGACACATTTTTTGGAGATTCACCCAAAACAATTGGCTGAGCGGCGCTATTTTATTGTTGCGTTGAATACTGTAATTACGAAACTGTCAGTCAAATCTTGAGAGAATAGAATAAAACAATGCATCCTGGGATGGGGGATTACTTCACGAGTGTTGGAGATGTGAAGGTTGAAGTAATAAACCTATGAATAGGATCCCTTATCAGAGTTTTATTTCCTCTCAACTTCAAATTGCTTATTTGATGATTAGGGCTGCAAGCGTCTCTGATCTTTTGTTTACTTTAACCACTTATGTTAATTGCATTTGGTTTTTCCAGAGATAGCCAGTGACAAAACTGACTCTTCTGCCCACAGCAGTTTTAATGAGCCCCCGGCTGCCACTGCTGTAGCTGTGACACAAAGTAACTGTGTTGAAACGCTTTGCTGTGTTCGGCTCAACAAAAATCTATCCCCTCGAGTGAGCCCCTGTTCACACTGCTAGGTCGGCAGGATATAGGGCTTTCATTTTAGATACAAAACTTACACACACCCTTTTGTGTGTATGTGTGTGAGAGTGTGTGTCCCTCCAGGCTCCTTCCCCTCATCAGTCAGCGCCAAGGGAGTGCTTAAAACACGACTCAATCACAGCTATCATAAAGCCCTGAGAGATGACTGTCAGTCAGTGTCATTGTGTAAAGGAAAGAAAATGTCGTTGACGTCTGCAGATGCCTGCTACCTGAGGTCATTTCTTTTTTTTACCTAGCCTCTTTTTCATTAACGTATTATAAAGGAGTACATGCTCCACACATATGTCATATATCATACATAATGTGACAGCATAAGAGCACTGGACAAAGAAGGAAATGGATATGAATGAAAATATGTGAGCGCACATACCTCCACCTAGACACAGCAATCCTCTATATTTCTGATTTTAACAATTGGGCAGTTTATGGTGTATTAAAACACAACTGAATATATTGCATCACCATTATTACTGTCATTATGGTACTTCCAACTATTCTATGCACCAAATTGTTAAAGATTAGATAAAATAGTAGAAGTGGTAAAAAAAAAAAAAAAAGAGTTCAGGAGTTATGAGCTAAAAAGGTAAAAGTGCTTCACAAACACTGAAAAAAATCTGTTCAGTAGTTTGTGAGATGATATGTTAAAGGTAGAGTAAGCGATTGGAATCTAATATACTTTTTTTTATCACATTCATTTAATATCTCCCCATCGCTGCTGCTGAGTTCAACTGTCAACAGTCTTTCTCCAGCATTGCTTATTCTACCTTTAATTAACAGAAATAAACATATGGGGTCAAAATGTGGGACAGAAACCTAACCACCGGCTAATGTGAGCTCTTAGTATCAGGGTGGACTCACCTCTTCCTGCGCTGTAATGTTGCAACTTGTCACTGTACACCGCCTCCTTGGTGTATGCCCTTTTCCTGTGGGAGTAATGATTATTGAAAAGGGGGGGGGTTAGAGAGAGAAAGAGAGAGAGAGAGAGAGAGCATGAGAGATGACATGATGAAAGGAAGTGTAAACGAGGCCTTGCTACTGTTCACGGTTCTCTGTATGTTCTGAAAATGACGTGGCTGAAATTGAATCAGTTGCAGAGGGTTAGCAATGGCAAATGAAGTTTATGAAAATGAGATGATTTTTAATTAGACCTTGATAGGATCTCTCTGCTTTTCATCTGTCTCCTCTGCCTCAGCATCAAAAAGAGCCTGGCCCGTTTGATGAACACTTTGCTTACTCAAAGTTGCAAACAGCACTGCGAAAAATTTGACTTTCATATATCTAAAGCGGAGCAAGATAGGAGTGTGACAATGTGACAAACTGCTGCAATATTAAATTGACTTGACTTGAGTAAGTTAACAGGGCAAAGTAGTAATTGTTAAGTTCTCTGTGGAATTGAATATTCCATTTCAAGTACGTCAACTTGGCCTTCCTTTCCATCAAATTGATTGCTATTAATAAATGCTGTATAAGAATATGCGTAAGAAGCTCACATATGTTCCTAAGTATGACAACGGGATTCAGCTGTATAGCTAATGCAGTCAAAATGTCAGTAATTTTAAAACACATTTTCCAGATATAGCTGTGCTGAATTTTACTTTAACATATTATGTGCCACGTACTCTTATATGGTCAGATTCTGATTAAAAAACTGGGCAATCCATCATAATGTGACAGAAATCTATCTTCATGTAATGTTGCTATCTGTCTTCCAATGGTTATTAGCAAAAGGAGAGTAGGAAGGATACTGTATAGGACTGCATGGTGTTCATGTTATTATGCCAACCCACTATTCTTGATACTTGCTATATGTTGTCATTACAGAGGCAAAAGTAGGCTGGCTGTGTTGCTATTTTGCTCTTGAGGAAATAAAAGTTGGGAGCCTGAAAAGGGACAAATGTAGCGATGAAGTCATCAGCGTCTGCATGTATTACGAAACGAAACGAAACGAAAATGTGGTTACCTGCTGCACACGATGGAGATGGCAACGAGGGAAACAATAAAGACCACTCCTGCTGCAGCTGACCCTGCAATCAGAGGAAGCTGTTCCCTCAGCTCCGACTTGAAGTCATCTGTATTACACAAAGAGAAAGACAGACGGAAAGACACTGAGAATGGCTTAGGTAAGGCTTAAGGACCATGACTGTGTTTATTTGGAGGTGTGTATGTGAGCGTGTGCTTGGGAGGTAAAGGGAGAGACAGAAGGGAGAGGAGGCAGAGCAGAATGGTTAGACTGGTTGTACTGATGGATAAAGAAAACATATAGATCTCTCTGCTGAGACGTGGTGACTGAAATCCAGTGAGCTTTAGCAAGACTCACTGACAGACTGTGTTTGATAACCCACTAGAGAGACAGAGAGTGAGAGAGTAGCATAAAAGTGATGGTTAGAAAGAGCGAGGGGGGACCTCTCAATCTTCTCTGCCACACCTGTCAGAAATGAACGGACAAGAAAATGCACCTTGGAATGTTGTTTCTCAGGCGTCGAAAAGGAAGTCACCCACTGCCAATCACACACGGCCCCAAACATGTTTTATGTGCATATCCAGGGCAGGCCGCCAGTAGTTCAAAGGACAGCCCAAATGCCTGCTTAAAACCACTACACAGCAGAATCCCCAGTTATCTTTGTGTGTCCCTGCCTTCCCATGACTTTGGCACCAGCAAACACTGTGGTTAAAGCAATGCACGATTTAGCATGCTGCAGGCAAATCAGCAGCTTCTGAATTCAATCCCCCGTGTAGAATGGGCCTATTGGATTAAAGTGATAAAGGGAGAACTAATGCATCTTCGGAACAGTGCAAGAGCTGGGATATATGAGGAAAGTCAATGTGACAGGAATTGCTCACTCTTTTAACTTGCACATTTATCAAGTACGTTTCAAGCAAACAGTGTGAATGATGTTCCAGCTACTCAAGCTTCCTGGGAGTCTTCCTGTTCTCTTTTGATGCATAATAGGTGCAAGAGGTCCAGATCAAATCTCCCCTCCACCCATATGAGAATGGTGATTTTTTTTCCCCCCTGACAGCCAGAAATCACACAGCTACCTGTTCCAGCAGTAAACAGGCTCCTATTACAATCAGTTAGTTCTTGAAGCCTCAGACTATTAGAGAAATGGAGAACTGTGACATCAGTCACCTTAAAGATGGACCAATCACCTCTTTTTCATCATACCTGTCAATCAAGCCTGCACTGCTCACGAGTATGCGTGATTTGAGTGTGCAGAGGAGGCAAAGGGACACCTTGTGGAGTTGTATGAAAACGTGCTGACAGGGAGACACGAGGGATTATATGTTTTGAGAAAAGACATGGAGGGAGAGCGGTGGTTGGGTGGCGAGGTAGTGCCTTCATGAGACAATGGAGCGGCTCAATGGGGGGAAGAGGAGCCTGGTAGAGGGGCAGGAGGTGGAGCCGTGGGTGTGATTGTCGGCAGTTCTCTAGCGTCTGCTGCTAATTGCCTTGACGAACGTTGTGTTATGGCAGCAAGCCAACGGATGAACCATAAACCTTGTTTGTGTGAGCGAATGTCGCGCGTGCGTGCATGCATATGTGTTTGTGGGGATGATAATTTGCAAACGTCGGAAGGAGCGAAGGGGCCATGACTGCACCACTACATCTGCTCTGCACAGGTAAATAGCCACAATGATCACCTTCATCATCATTATTATCCTTCCCATCTTCCCCTCCCTCAAGATCATCACCGTCACATTCATTGTAATCTTCATTAACACAATACGATGTGGAAATGTCAGCCCTGTCTTTGATACATTATGAACTACAGCCATACATGAATAGCAGGCTCATAGTCCAGTTTGGCACAGTGAGGCAGCACTTTAGCAGATCTTGTGAATGTTACACATGTCCAGTCAAATGGTTAAACCCATCCAGACTGAATCATACTGTGTTCATTTCAGCACTCATTTCACTTCCTGGCAAGTATATGAAGAAGTGCTTCATGAAGAAGTGATATGCGAAGCCGCCATCACCAACTCCCTACACACACACACACACACACACACACACACACACACACACACTTGCACTTCAACCAATAAATATAGTTCCACAACCTTGCCAGCGTAGCAGGTGTTGCAAGCCCCACTTCAGCCACTTCCCTCTCCGACAATCCAAGCCCCTCCCCCACATGGCAAAAAATTTATCTCATCAACTACTAATCACAGCTATGCATTCTGGGACGGCTCTCGAGCAACAGAAGGGCCGGGTGAAAAACCAATTAGCTAAGCATTTTGGATCAAACACAGTTAGTTGCACAAACAAAAGACACTCAGCGTTTTACATATTCAAAGCACCCCCACACACACTCCAACCTGACTGTGAAGGAAATTAATTTAGCTGTAGAAATGGAAGCGCAATCAAACATCACGGTTCCCTTCGATCTCCCCTACTAATAATAATTATAATATTGCAACAACAAATACAAAGGGAGACAAAGAGTGTTTGAAAGAGTTTGGTTGTATGTGAGAAAAAGCGAGACAGAGAAGGATAGAGAGAGACTGAGAGAGCTGTTTCTCCTGGCTCGGCGATCCTTACCATCTGTGAGGGTTTGGAAGCACATCTTGCTGCTGTATTTGCCAAAGCCAGCCACAGTCCGTGCTCGCACCTGCACCACGTAGACTGTACCCGGCCTGAGGCCCTCCACGCGTGCAGTGTTAGTTTGGCTCCGCAGGATGGTGGAGTTAATCTCTGCATGGTCCTGCAAAGAGCAATGGACACAGGGAGCAGGTTAGAGATGACTTACTGAGAAGATGTCAGCAGGAAAGTGTTAAATCGCAGAGTTGAGAAAATTGTGGTAAAACAAGATCCGGTGGTGGTAGCAGGAGTTCAACAGAGAAAAAACAAACAAGCTTATCAAACATTGTATGTTCAGGAAACAGGACGGGCAATGTGGTCCAATTGGAGGAAATTAGTTTAAGCTGTATATTTTAGTTGTTGTAAACCAGAGATAGTGGAAATATAGTGCACTTCTGATAAATCACACTGACAGAGGACGGATGAAAACAGCAGATAGCAGAGTAGATGCAGAACAGACAGTGCACAACAGTTAGGGACAGCCAAACGCTTTTAAAGATTACGTTTAAGATTATGTTTTTATCAAGGCTTCGGTCAGTTTCAACCTCAAATACAAAACGTTGCAGCAAGCGTACACACATTAAAACACACACGCAAAGCACACCGATCGCACAAACACACAATAACCCCCATTCACTCAGTAACACACATACACAATTTGATAATTAAAGGCAATCATTTCTTGCAAATTAGAAAGAGCCATAGCTACTTCTTAACAGTAATAGAATAACATTGTGTATTTGTGTCTTCAGACAAGGCGATTTAATTATGGCAAGAAGTTTGAACATTGCGTCCTCTTGTTTTCTTGTTTAAAGTAGGTTGCTTTTTAAATATGACGGTAGGCCAAGCCCACCCATGGAAAGCACTTTATTTTTTCATTAAAGGGAATGCTAAAAAAATCCTTTGTGCAATCGCTGTTTGTTGCAATGTTCTATTTAGGTCTTCGGCCTCTTTTTTCATGCACTGTTCTCACTGAAACGTTTTCTCTTCACCCTTATCGACATGCATGTGGGTCTGTATGGATGTACACTATGAATATATGCGTTTGTTCATGCATATATTATGAAAATGTATGGTTTGGACCATGGGACCTGCCCTCCAGGTCCTGCATCTCAGTCGCTCTCCCTCCAGGCTCAGGAGAGTCAGTCAGGCAGTCTGCTGCAGTGTAGTTTGGGGCCTGCTGGAGGTATCTGCTATGAGGAATCAGTAATTACTTAGGCCTGTCACCTTCCCATAACCCAGAGTGAATATGACAGCCAGAAAATAAGACTACACCTACACTACACCCACTGCTGCAGGCTGCTGATAGCTAGATGCAGACATTCTGTAGAGAAGGGGGGGGGCGGCGGGGTGGGGGGGGGGGGGCAGATGAAAGTGAAGGGGCAAAATTCCCTGTGTCAGTGAAACAGTGTAAATAGAGGCAGGCTGTTTTTTAAGCTTGGTAAACACACTATTGTCTAACACCGGACTACGTCTTATAATACATGTATGAATAAGAAATCTGAGTTGACAGCAGTGTGGAGTGGAAAAAGTAGCTAGGCAAATAGGAAAGGAGGAAGCAAAGGGAGGAGGAGGAGGATGGAAGATGATGGCAGGAAGCGATAAGAAACTCCAGGCAGAAGCAACCCACATCGAAATCATTATCCAATCTGATTGGTGTAATTGAATCATTCCGGTTGCTCCGTCATTGAGCAGACGAGGTAAACACAGCTATGAAATCCGCGCCCCCCCTCCCACACACACACACACACATAATGATGTGTGCAATCACATTAGCTCTTATTGGACACTCCGGGCTTGATGAAGACAAATGTTTGGGCTTGGGATGGGAGAGCATCGCACCAACAGGCTTTCTTTCTATCTCTGAGAGGAAAGAGATGTTTATAAATGGGATGCTGGATGTAACTGGTTTAGGGAGTTTAATCATTTCACAGCCCTTTTGTCCATTAGATCACACAATCTGTCATTTCTCTGATGTGCTGTGTACGAACACTCAAAATTCTGAAACTTCGTATCAAAGCAGCAACTTGTGCCTTTGAAAGAGCTGCAGAAGACATGACAACCCCCCTCCCCCATCAGAGACTGGGACTTTAGTCACCTACTCATTTGGCGTGAGACATGCTTGAGTGCACGTGGACCACTTGGGGTCAGGATTTTCCTACTCCTGCCATCAGTCACTCAGCATTTCTCAGGACCACACCCCCGTCTGCTTGAATGGAGGACAGGTGAGCAGACAGATGGCAAACCGCCAATGGGGGAGCATCCCTTGAGGGAGCACCAACTAGGAATGGCCCTTTCATGCTGCCAGTCAAATGGGGATTATGTGACACACACACACACACACACACACACACACACACACACACACACACACACACACACACACACACACACACACACACACACACACACACATCTGCCACTTAAACATGAGCTGGCATTTGGCACTCCAGCAGGTTAGGGGATAGCCAATAAAAGGCCATGCCAGGAGGGACTTCCAGCCACGAGAGGTCCTCTCCTGCTGCCAGTCAAATGGGGATTAGGAGGACCACACCCTAACTTGCTAAATAAAGACAGAGTTGCAGGTGGGAAGGCAGATGGTAGAACAGCCAATCAAATGCATTGCCAGGGGTGACAGACAGGAAGCACTGCGGGGAATTTACTCTCTGCAATATTCAGTAAAAACACTGAAACAAACTTAGCACGAATGGCCATCTTAATTAATACTGTTTATTACTTCCTGTCTCCAGATGAGTCACATGTTCTGAATGATGGTGAAGCACACTCATACTCTTTTACATTAACTACGGCAGGGAGCTTTAATAAATCTTCCTTCTCCCATCTGTAAAAACAGATGAGCTAGCTATGTGCAATAACCTACTGTACCCCACCCACCTGGCTACTTGGCCTTGGAACTACACTGAGAACTGATACTGGGTTTACTTGGATATATTTCATTTGACCCCATTTCATAGGATTGACTACAAGTTACTAGATTTACAACATTAGCACTGGACCTACTATAATCATATTGGATTGCTGGAAGTCCAATACTTGGACTTCTCTTCTTTTTTTTTTTCTTTTTTTTTCTTTTTTTTTTACTTGTTTAAACTTTCAATTCATTTTTTGTAATTGCCAATTTCCTACCAATTACCATTACCACTGCGAGCGGACTGCAGAGGGAGATCTTTTTGAATTTCCTCTCTGCCACTTTCCTCCTTATTTCCTCAGGTTTTTTGGGTGAGTCTTTCAGTCAAAACCCATTACTGTTGTTGGCCTGTAAAGGCCACCGAGACATTATATGTGATATTGGACTATAAAAATAAACTTGACTTAACTTGACTTGACTTGACATGTGTGTGTGTGTGTGTGTGTGTGTGTGTGTGCGTGCGTATGTGTGTGTGTGTGTGTGTGTGTGTGTGTGTGCCTATGTTTGTGTGTCTGTGTTTTTCAAAAACTGCCAAGTACCCAAAATGGACAGCATGGCCACCTGGCACAAAGACAGACATGATGGGATACCATGTGTCCTCTTCACAGGCTCACACACTTGCATGCATGCAAATAACGGACACACACACAAAGGGGAAGAGTGGGGGTGTGTGTGAGTAGGAACATTCTAATATTATGTTTGTAAAATGGAAATGAAAGAAAGAAATTTCTCCCATAATATAATACTCCTGATTAAAATATATTGCCGAAGGTAAAAAAGAAAAGAGGGGGGAACAATGTAAATCTCAGAGACTAGATGGGTTTTATTTCCAAATGCAAATAATTACCATAACCTCATGAATTCAAATCAAATGGTAAAGAAAATGGTAATTATTTTGTATGGAAAAGCAACGGTGATAAAATTTAATATTAAAGACCATTAAAGCCTCTTAAGTGTTTTGGGAAATAAAGAAACTAAAATAATATTAAAACAAATTAAATCACCCCACAGTAACAAAAAAGAAAAAACAATGATCTTCCTCTCATTGTGATGCTGCAAAGCCACGGGTCTAAACAAATAGTGAGAGAGGTACAGTGAAAGGGGGGTGAGAAGAATCAAAATGGGGAAAGGGAAATGTATTTGCTTCAGCTCTTTCAGTTTGTTTTTCTTAGTGTTTGCGGCCATCTCCTTTTGAGATGACTCTTTGTATGCACTCCATTCACCTGGAGACTGACAAGGAGGCCTGAGTGAGCAGGGCAGGAGACAAACAAAGAGGGAGAGAAGAAGAGAGTCTGAAGGAGGAAATGTGAATACCCTTGCTGGGGGACTGGCGGAGCTCAGCACAAGTCCTGCTTTTCACAGGTTCCATTAAAAATCATTAAAAGTCTGTACAACATCTGTGTGTGTCAACAAAAGTGTTGTGGTCGACCGTGAAAGCTGGCAGGGAGAGAAGAAAAGAATAATAAATACTTTCTCCTGGCTTCTCTTCTGAGGAATTGCTAATTGTATGTAAATAAAAGGGTGATTTCAGAGTGCCAAAAATGCAGATGGTGCTACGGTCAGTATGCTACAGATTCTGGTGACATGCTGTAAAGTCGAATTTCTGCAGCATAACAGTACTGCTGTCATCCAGAACTGAACCTGAACTGCTGCTGACACTTCCACATAAACACTGCCACAAGCTCTATCACACTCACACACACTTACACACACATGCACGCACGCACGCTCTCTCTGACACCAACACACACAAAGCCATCAGTAACCAGAGCCAGTGGCTGCTCTGCCCCAGCCTTAATGGAGGGCCTGACCTCCGCTATGCTGAGTTATTTCCACCCTCCCCAAATTTTCAGGCAACCAGAGGAAAAGGGGTATGAGAAAAATGGAGAGAACGAGAGCATGCTATCCTACTTTTTCTCTGACAAACCTTTAACTCATTTCATCTTGCTTCCCAATTTACAGGGTCCTGGGACCACTTACTCTGTAATGAGAAGGTAGGTTGAAGAAGGGAGTGAAGCTTGTTTAGAGCAGCACTCACTTCAGCTTTTAGGTGAGATTGTTAAAGTGTCTTTTTGAATCATTTCTGTCTGCCGCCTAAACTGCCACTGTAGGCGGAAGGCTGGGTTTTTACTTTTGTTAGTTTTTGGAAACATTACTTTTGGCGACATCTTACATAACAGCATTATTGCAGGGATTGTGGATATTAAACAAGCACATATGTACAATGATACTGATTATGTGATGTTTACTGGGACCAAAATAACCAATTTCCCTACAGTATTGAAAGGAAAATGAACATTTTCAATTAAATGGAGTTTTATTACCTTACAAATCTGTTATGATTAACTATTGCACTAATAAGTGACTCTTTGGTTCACCTATGACCTTTTGAACTTGCCTTAATTAGGCCACAACTTTGTTATTAAGTGGCTTACGTTGACATTGGTTATTATTTCAAATGACAACCTGCCGCAATAGACATGTGTAACTAAAATATAAATGGTAGAGAATTATGCAAGTTAAACTAAGAAGTTGTTAGCCAGCACCGGACAGTTATAATGAAGAAATATTTTTTATATTTACACAATATCTAATTATTTTCTCTCTCTATTATCAAATGAGTAGTTTCAATAATTGCTTCAAAATGATTTTTTTTTTTTTAAACCTGTGTGATGCTTGTGTTCCAAGGTTTTAGAAGACAGCATTATGCAGCTACCTCTATTTGTGAGCCCATAGGGCATCATAGGAGCACAATTTGAAACCATTTGGGGACCATTATCCAATGTCATAGTGCACTCTCTCTCTCTCATTCAGTTCCTACTGTGAACTGTCAAATAAAGGCAGTCATACTGGAAAGCAATTAAAACATTACTTAAAAAAAACTAGTGCAAGCCTGTCTCCAAGAATCAAACTTGTGGCCAAGACTGTGGAAAAGAAGCAGATTTTCTTTTCTTTGTATGATTACCTCGAGGTATTATTCAACACAAAGTGTGACAATGCCATACTGCTGGAGAAGTTGCCATTGTAAATGGGTATATGAGGCTTCCTGTGAGATGGAGTGTACAGAGAGACAGCTCTCTGCTGTGCTAAGGACTAGCTGACTGTGCCAGACACGCTGAGACAATCAACTCCAGAACCATAACAGTGTGACTACTCTCAGATTAATGCAAGCATCAGTGAGATGAATATAAAAGACGGCGAGTAGAGCAGGGCCATTTTTATATTAAAACAGTTTTTTATGATTGTATTATCCAGCCTATATGTTACCCATGGCGCTGTGTAAGGCTGGGAGTATGCACGGGAATGTGTGATAGACATGGTGAGTCATCCCCCCATAATTGCCTTTTATGATTAAAATGCCACATCATCACTTCATGGCTGAGGTGGAACCTCCAGATTTTCTGGACCTCTCAAGTATTCAGGGAATCAATGGAGAGCGGGCAGGACTGACCTGGATGTGTGCAGTTCAATTCGCTGCTTCTCCATATGCAACAAGGACACTAACATGCATGCAAGTAACCCGAGCTAAAGTGTGTGACACGGAAAATTTATGTGCATTTTAAATTTCAACAGGTATAGACATTACACACATGCTTTGTGCTTTATTATTTTGCCAAAGTTGTGTACCATTTTCCTTGTTTTCTGAGGATTGGTGCTCAATCACGTACACAAAACGTATCCGGTGACACATTGGACAACGGCGGTTGGCTGAAGAAAAGTCTGTTTAGAGCCTATAAAAAGGCTTGTCAGATCCAAAATAGAGTGTGAAAAGAGGACCACCAATGTGGAAATCTCATCTCCACAGCCCTGTGTGTCACAAAGCAATCACTCTGACTCACCTTCTGTGTCTTACTCACACTCACACGGTGGTACATTTTCCAGATAGACAGTAATGCATACGGGGGGGAATATGAAGGTACATCAAGACAGAGGTAGGCAGTGTAGAGCGCAACCTCTCTGTCACCTGAATCATCCCAGTGCAATTAGCAATCTTGTCCTCGTTAATTCATTAATTTGTGATTACGCTGTGCTCATCTATTTGTGTGGGGACACGCTACATAAACATCAATAGGATTAGGTTTCATTGATATTCATGAGCTAATGGGAGGCTGTATAAGTGTTATTTACACGACATTAAGCTGTCTGGCAGATAAGGTTTCTCAGGGCCATGGCAATCGGATTCAATTTCATGACCTGTGCAATGCCAAGGGGGGAAACAGCGAGCAATGCAGCTATTATTGGATAACTGAATTTCCAACTGCAAACATCATTTAAAAACATGATTGTTGTCCTCTCTGGTAGAAAATGCTAAATATGACAGCCTCTATTCTTAGGAGGGGTTGTGAATATTGATCCAGGAACCTTAGCCGAAATGAGTTTGGAAATTTGAAATAAATAACTCAACAGAAAAAGAAAAACATTTATAAAACTATTGATTTGTATCTTTTATTTGGAAAGCATAACATGGGTGAAGGTGCATCAGGTCTTGCAAAAAGTCTTAGCTGAAGATGACAAAGACTGAGGAAAAAAAAAACAAAACAAAACATCCATGACCAACCTTGCTGTAACTATCGATCAGCTTTAGGAGGACAAACAAGGGCCCAAACAAAAAGCTTGAGTCTCCGGTCTCTCGGTATCATTATGTCCAAGGCCTTGGGTAAAGGCCTACAGGTCAATACTGGAGCAGTATAGACGCTGTGGGGTAGGGTTGGGGACTTAATAAAGCAGACGTATTGTGTGTGAGCAGACCGGTCGATGTGACTCCCCCCAGACGCAATGCATTTTCACAGCGGGACAGGTTGCTGCACTGTGCAGAGTGGGCCTGGAGCAGAGGTCAACCTATTCACTTCATCAGCAGCAGAAACCAAAGAACAGTGGGAGAGACGGAGTGACCACAGTGAAAGAACATATTATCAGCCCAGGGGACTCTGTTCAAAGATATCCGGGGGAGCTTAGATTTTTGGGATCTTTACATAGTTTACCGTCCTAGTGCTCACCTTAAAGACCTGGCGCCAATGCAGATACACATGAAAATTCTCACACACATATATGCACTTGCAGTATAGTGTGAAAGTGTGAATACAAACAGACATACAACCCACATAAATCCATGCATTTTATATATATATATATATACACACACACACACACACACACACACTTAGCTTACCTTCTCGTAGTAACGCAGCTCGTAGTCCAGAATGATGCCATTGGGCTGTTCCGGCTGTGGCCATGACAGTGTGAAGCTATTCATGGTGGAGCTGATCTGGTGCATGATGGGAACTATGGAGGGAGCTGCAGGGCACAGAGAGAGTAACACAAAATCAGTGCGTTTCTAGAATAACCGGTAAAGATTGCCGATATGTCTCACTGGCAGCTTTTTGCAGGTTGTGAGTAGGTGTTTTCTTTACTGCTAGATTATAAAACATTGCAGTCATCCAGAGGTATTATAAGAGGTATGAGAGTCCTCTTTGCTAATGCTGAAGACACAGCACAGTGAGCAGAAGCCACCTAAGTTTCCCTTCACTGTCTAGCAGGCACCCAGCCATTAGGTAGTTTGGATTAGATGTGCAGCGCCATTTAATTTAATTTCAACCAGGCATCACAATTCTTTAGTTTAGATTCAAAAGGGAATCTAAAGTAAAACTTAGTAGCATATTGAGTCTTTATTTTAGATTCAAAAGCCAGCTATGGGGAAACCAGTTCATTATTTGCCTAAAATTCTAATCACTTTAATGACAGCTAATTATAGTGAGTGCATTATCCATACAAATAATTAGAGAAATTATTGTATACATTTTTAAGTAGTGCACATTTGCAATACATCCCATCCCTTGGAGGCACTCAAATCATGCATTATGCTGTTCTAGATGCACACAGCAATCAGTATTCTGCACACAATCTGAGTTTAAACAGTGCAACTGCCATTCTCATCAGTACCCAGGTAGCCAGCAGAGTCGAGGCTGATTAGAGTCACGGTCAAACCATATTCTGGCACTGCAGGACCAAATCTGAGTCAGCTTTGGCCAAAATATGGCTGCCAGATTTAGCAAAGATTTGAGGGTGTGGACTTGGGCTGAGTATCAGCTGCAGTTAGCAGGCCTACCTTTGCGCCAGAATCGCCAGTCGCCACGAGTCTGGCATGAGTCCGGCAACCAGTCGTGTTGGATTTAGTCTAGTGTTGGGCTGAGTAATTTTGGCTACAGGAAGAATATGGAAGCACTAAGTGTGGCATCCAAGGGCTGCATTGTATCCAGTAGTTAACACAGTTCCAAAGCTTTTTAAATTGTTTTTTTGTTTTTGGTTTTTTTTTCCAGGAGTGCCCATTCACACAACAGTTGCACCAAATCTCTGCTAGAAGAGCAATATCCTTCTTCCTGCTCAAAAGTGTTGCTTGGTTCACTCTTTAAATTTGTAATTAAGATTTACATATGGCTACAACATGATGTTGTTTGCTAATGACTGTCATTGTGTTGCTTAAATTTGATTAAATCAGGAAAGAAAACAAGTTGTTTGTCATTGCTATGTAATTCTCTAATGCATTTTTAAAATAATTTGAGCAGCCAAACAGCTTAATGTGTTACAGTAACACCATAAATACAGCTAGTAAGCATGCCCATATACAATATAATGCACAGTTCAATAGAATAGCATAGAATAGGTGCTATTAAATTCCTCTCATTCAAGAGCCACTCAGTCAAACATTATATTAGGAATGAATGTTAAAATGAAATGGGCAAATATAACATGAACAGAGGAGGTTTATCTGATTTACCAATCTGTAAGTAGCAATAAGATGTTGTCACAAGATGCGATCTTACAGTAGGCAGCAACACAGGAAAGTTTTTTATGAAAATTTATTTCACCTGATTTATTGTGACACTCCACTTGGTGTGCTCCACTGCTGATTTCAGTGTCAATGATGTCATGGTGAGCCACAGAATTACTAAACAGTGCTGTCAGGAATATGTTTCTAAACAATAAAATTGCCACTTTCCAGGCACAAGCAGACTGCAATCATGGATCTCCAGCAAAACAAGGAGCATCAGTTTCTATATACTCTATTTAGAAATTAAACTCATGTACTGACATTCTGCAGCCAGTACATGTCAACATGTAAAAGACCCCATCTGTATATGAGCTATCAAAATTGTATTATTGTGATTGTTTTGGCGCAGCTGCACAGCCCTTCATCCGTCAGCCCCAGTACACCTGAATGGGCACACATGGGTTGTCAATTAACCCAGACACTCTGCAATTTCCTGCTCATTCCATCATTTTTGTCCTCTGCTCTGCCATCCCTCCATCATCCCCACTCCTCTTCACTCTTTAGATGCCCCTAAGAGATTCTTTTATTGGACAGAAGGAAGACACCATCTACAATAAATCTCTGTATGCATGTGAGTGCATGTGTCTATGTTTGCAGTATATGCATACAGTAACCACCACACCCTGTTGACTCAGGTTTTGACTCAGCATCTGATCAGCTGAAAGTGTGTTTTCTTATCTTTTATCTATATGGACTACAGCTTTGAAGTACAGTGAATCCAATTGCACTGAAATTGACCCTATTTTTTTTTTTTTTTTACCATGAGAACAGCCACAGCTGAGTCCATCCACCTGTCTTTTTGCTATCATACCTTGGCAGATTTTTTCTCACTGTTGACATTCAACATATCCACAGCTATCTTGTCATGCTGACTGTAGTGTCAAGATATTTCAATACCCCCAGACTTTCTCCTCTGGTGCTGATATTCACTTTTCTACCTCTATTTGTTGTGTTAATATGCATAATCTAAGGAACGCTGACAAGTTCCTAAATGTCACAGTCAGTGCTGGCTCGCACTGACTGGGAGTTCAGGCCTTGCCTAAACCTGTCAGCTCTGACACAACTGCAGAAAATCTACACAGTCCAAATCATCACACACTGGATCACTGGGATCCCTGCTGATCAAGATAAAGGTTATTTTACTGGTGGAACTTCATTGACTTTCACTGGTGATGCTAAGCTTATCAGCTTCTTAGTATGTATGATGGGGTTTTTTCTGCCAGAGTTCGAACAGTTTTGGTTCTTACAATTCAGAGATTTCTGTTTTTGTGTTTTTCCCTGTACTCCCCACTGCCAGTTTGAAGTGCGTGAGGCTCACTCTCATACTTTCATGTCAGGATTAATGACAGTTGAATCAGAGTCTGATTTGCTCATGTTGCTAGCAGTTTTTGACTATTGAACTGTTCAAAATTAATACCCAAGAATACATATTTTTTAAAAACTTTAAATCAGCTTATTTAGATATGACTATTTAATGATATAGGGGACTTGAGATCTAAGTAGATCCTTGATGAATACATCAATCGATGATAAAGATAAAATTACAGATAATTACAACATAAATCTGTTTTCAATAAATGTGACAAAATATGAAATAAAAATACAAATTGCTTGGCTTCTATGTAGAAATCACCCTTTTTAATAGGAACTGTGAACATGCCCAAAATCTACTGTATAATCACAAACTCTTCCTCTGTGCTATCTAAAGTTAAAAGACGACACCGACCGAAATTTACTCATCAAACCAATTTGTGAATACACAAGTACGTTTGATTAAAAACTCATTCCACGGCTATTCGCATGAAGTTCAAAGCCTCGGTGTTTGTATACAGCGCTGAAAAGGAATCTCCACCCTCGTATCTGCAGGCATAAATACAGCCCCACACAAGCCCGTGCTCCACATTTTGTGCCTAATAGCCTCCTGGCTCTCGGCCTGCTCGCTGCTGAGGCCTAGTCATCGCTCCACCTGGTCTCCACTCACCATCTTTGTGAATAACTCCTCCATTCAAAAGTCAGCGAATGGCACCCTCTCTCAACAAAACGATGCTGTTTTTAAATCAGGGTCCTTAGTGGATACTTTATTTCTTTTCGTTCGCGCCACACTTCACCCTCGCATAAGTGCTCCACGGTCACAGGAGAGAAAGTGTAAGGAGAGAAACCCCTGACCTTTTCAGTACTTGCGATTGCTTCTACATTCTGTTTTGTGGGAAAGAAGGATTATTCTACAATTTTTCATTAGGATATTTCTTTTCGATATGACAAAAATTAAAATGTAAACAAATGAATGGGCTCTATTTATCCTGTCAGTGTGAATGGATTCTGTTCCATCTACCTTCCCTTGGCTCTCACCTCCTGCCCTCCTTTCCTCATCCCTCTCTCTCTCTCCCTCTCTCATACCCTCGACAGAGAGTGTGAGGGCTAAGCTTCACCTTGTTGCACTTCAGCCTTTCTGCCTCTCAGGCTGGTTCACGCTCCACTGACCAGGGCTAGGGCTGCCTGGGCTGCATTATCAATTACCGGCCACAGGCACACACTGTTCCTGACAGACCCAAGGGAAAGGCACTCCACACAGAAATTACTGCAGTGGAAAAAGGGGCTGTGGAGGAGAGGTATTTCCACAGCCCCAGCAACTAAGCCCCGGTCCCGATACAGTTCTTTTTTACCATGGAGAATTTTTTAAGCATGTTTTCAAGTGTCCAATGGCTAAATGTGTGTAAGTGTATACTCCGGGTTGAGACCCCTGAATCATCACCCACATCTCTGAGATATTTTTAGATTCTAAATGGGTCTGGTGTTGTGTCCACTGATGGCTCTTAACCCCAGAAACAACCGAGGCCACCAGAGCTTTGCCGGTGAAATTAAGGATTGAGATCTCAGAACAACAAGGACAGGACGCACATGTAAGTTACTATTGACTAATAACTGAGGTAACCCTAGTTGGCATCAACACAATTTCTGCCTGCATAAAGAAGTGAAAACAAAACGGCAATGTGGTCTGATTATGAGGCTAACAAGTTTAAGTTCTGAATTATAAAGTAGCTACCCTTTATTATAAACCTCGACCCTTACAACACAAATTCTCACTCCCGGTTAAAAAAAACAAATAACTTTTCTCACTGGCTTTCCCACTGGACAGACACTGGCCATGTTTTTGAGGAGGAAAAGCAGGAGAAAGACAGATAAAGAGCATGTGCAATTGTATGTGTGTCTGTGTCCTAGTAGTCTATGTGTGAAGAGCCTGTCAGAGACAATGTGTCGTGCCTGTATGAGGGTGAGGTTCAGCCCAATGAAGCACCGCTGTCCCCTCCAACTGCGTCCCCCCACTGTCACCCTGGGACGATGATGCTGACAGTGATTGGTGACTGTGTCCTGCACTCCTCTCTCCTCCCTCCATCCCTCCCATCCCTTGCTCCTGTGCTCCACTTTTATCTGGCCCCACTTGCTGCCCCTGGCTTTTAATGCAGAG